TTTTTAATTCGTTGTATAAGGGGTTGGCATAACTCTAGGTCCCCCGCAACTTTTAAGCCAAAGTGCTGTGGTATAAGACGGTTGGCGGTTGCTCTTTTAAAGAGAAGCAGCAACAATATTCACCCTGGTTGGTTAATCTAACGGTATTGCATAACAACTTGTGGCATTGTATTATTCCTCGTTAGAATGTTTGGTATTTTGTAGTTGTACATGAGCAAGTATTGAGAATTATATTTTTTATTTTTATTTTTAATTATCGGAAAGATTCATTCTATATTATACCAACAAATAGAAAAATTGTAGCTAAGGAACTATACTAGCAACCTACTCAATTTATTCTAGAAATTTTCGCAAACAATTATTGGACTATGCTATTATAAATGTTTTTCCTTGGCTAAAGAAACATATTACTCTATCTAATTCCGTATCACTTATTATTTTAAGTGTATATCCCAATTTTGCATAAACGAGTTATGAAAATTCACGAGAAGAAATGGGTGTATTGTACTAGCTAATAAATCCACGGAAATTGAGGTTCCACAAGTGAATTTCTAATACTATACTTGATACTATTTGAATTATTTATGATATGTAACTGAAACCATATATACTAGATGTGAGATGAATCTTTATTTATCGGCTAAGTAGCATCCCTAATAGTATAATGGATAGCATTTCTAGGACAAAGACATAAGTAAAATTGAAAATCTAATTTTCTTGAACTTAAGCTTTATTTGTAAAACTCGCGAATTGAATTATCAGAAAATGACAAGAAGCTGATGTTATGATGTACCATATTAAGTTAGGCAAAAACACTTTTCAAGCAGCAGAAAGTCAAGTTTCACCAAATTTAGTATAAATTAAGACATGATAAGGTCAAACTTATATCTCCTATATATGGTTTGACAATGAAGATTAATATTCATTGACTTGATTGGGCCCCTTTTGAATGTTCATATATAGCATCTATTGCTTTACAAATTGAGAAACAAAAATATTTCAACAAATACAATCATAGTAATTATAAGTAGGGATTGAATTTTCTCAATTGACGATGGAGTTGTCCTTGTTTGAATTAAAATTGTAAACATGAACGGATAAAAATGTCTATGGGCTTTATGAATGGTGATGAGAGTCGATCCACACAAATTGAAAAATACAATTTTGGGTCCTCTCCTGATGACTTAGGTAATTTTGGGTCGTGGCAATCCTCAAGCAAACAAAATAAAAGGCATTCATTTCTTCACTAGAAAATGAATACATAATTAAACATATTTAGTACTTATACATAAAGGAGAAGCAAAATGCAAAAGTATCCTGGCCAAGTACTAGCTAGTATACTGATGGACTAGCTCAATAAAACTCCAATTCAACTTATATACGTTACTATCAGTGTAATTTAACCTGTTTTACCGAGGTCATTCATCATGTTAAAGCTCTTATTCATAGAGGTGATTGAAAATAGAAAGCACAACGCGTAGTGATATTAGTCCCTTTATTGAATGATTTCCTACATTTGAAATTACGTGTTGTTCAAAGTGATATTAAACTTGTCAATATAATATCATGTTATCATTCCCATCCGTCGTCCTGATGGCCAGAGACAGGTTTGCTAGTCTTCATTTGTGTTTCATTCTTCCCGCCATCCTCCCCTGAAATCTCTTCGAGTGATCTACCTTTTGTCTCGGTCACCAAGAACGTGCAGCAAAATCCAACCATATTTGTAACGGCCATCAGTATCATAGCTGTCTTGATTTTATGAACATTCCCATCTTGCGTGTATTGTTGTATCCCAAATGCACTGATCATTGCCCCTGCCTTTCCAGAAGCTGCACTCAACGCGTGGCAAGTGGATCTCACCCTTGTAGGGAACAGCTCCGCGGGGAGCACAAATGTGGTTGAATTGGGACCAAAATTGGCAAAGAAGAAAGTTAAACCATACAGAGTTGCGAATGTCCATTTGTGCTCTTTAGTCTTTAGGTAATCATATTTGATTCCAATGATCGCCATGAAAACAGACATCATGAAGAACCCCATCAATTGTATTCTAAACCTTCCGATTTTTTCAATGAAGAATACTGTGAACCAGTAACCAGGGAAAGTACCAAACAAGGCAATCACAAACATGGCACGCGATGTCTCAAACATCTCCCTCAAGGCGGATATCGTGTTAGGTTTCTTAGTGAGTCCCATGACTGGAAATATGTCCTTTTGTGTGAGGTTTTGGCTGTAGAAAGCTATGTCTAACAAGAACCAAGTACTCATTGTACCAATCAAATGAAGCCCGTGGCGTTGGAAGAACTCATTGGAGAGTAAAGAATACTCATTAGCTGCTTTAAATTGAGCCAATTTATCACCTTCTGCTTGAATTTCAATATCAAGTACCTTCCCCATGTTAATCGCGGCTTGTTTAGCATTTCCTTCAATAATCGCAGTGTAACGCCCTGTTTCAGGCATCTTCATTCGCCAATAATAGGTAAGAAGAGCCGGAAGAGCTCCAAGCATCAACACGATCCGCCAAACATAATCAGCCTCGGGCTCTGTGGACAAAATTTCATCCACATCAAATGGCTTCCCTTCATACTTCATCAAGAACAATTTTGAAATGATCATCGAAACGAGCCCTGCAAAAATGATCCCAACTCCTTGCATAGCAAAAACAGCAGCAATGAACGCCCCACGAGTTGCCTTGTTAGCGTATTCAGACATGATCGTAGCAGAAAGAGGATAATCACCTCCAATTCCAAATCCAAGCCAGAATCTGAAGAAACAGAGTGTCCCTATTACACCTTTCGCGCTATACCCAAAGGACAACCCCGAGCAAATTGCACAAAGGACCATGAGAATTAATGTAAGTCCATAGACTTTCTTTCGACCAAGTTTATCTCCGAGCCAACCAAAAACAAGCTGGCCTGATAGAGTACCAACTAGAGCAACTCCAATCACCCAATTGTTCGTGACATGAGGCAATTTGCCAGGGGCATGGGTAGTTGGGTCGTAGTAGTACAAACGGCCTAAAAGTTTCGAGATAGTAGTGATACAGAACAGATCATATGCATCAGTGAAAAATCCCATTCCAGCAATGATAACAGCGGTGACATGGTACCATTGGGTACGCGCTGTGTCAAGTGCATTGAGCACTACAAGATTGTCTGAGGCCATGTTATTTTATTTTCTCTGAGATTGGTTGATGTCTGATCATCTCTAAATTGCTCAATGTATATATACATATATAGAGAGAGATAGTTATGTGATTAGTTAATTGGTGTCTACGCCTAGTTTCTGTATCTAGAACAAGAAATTCCCTGATAACTATTGGAGAATATCCTTCTTCTTTCTTTGCTTAAATCAATAATATGCCTCCAACTCAAAGCCGTCACAAGAAATTGAAACAACAATGTGATTGTGATGCTTATGCTTTACAATAGATTATGCATCTTTGGCAATCACTTTGAGATACAGGATGTGCCAATAGTTGTTAAACGACCACTTTTAGGCAAAGTTGTCAACATGATAAGTCAGTATAGAATGTTGACAATGTAAAAGAGGCGGAAATGAGATCTCTTGCTCTCTTACAATTTGAATAGAAGAAAATAGTCTTTTCAGATCTCTTGTGTGTAAAACGGAAGTCTCTTATGTGTAAAAATAAAAAGGACATAATTTTTTTTAAATTCCTTTGTATTACTACTTGGGAAAGAAATCTAGACACCATCATTAAACCATTCATTGATCGCTGTCGGTATTGATCAAATGAATTTGTTAAGAGAAATTGCCTGCATGGTTTTAATCCAAACAAAAGTGGGAACAATTAATGGTAATTCCGATTTTCAGCATAGAAATTGCAACTTTGTTCTTGTAGGTATGAATTATGTATATTCCAAGCTATTATCTTTGGCTTAAGCTTTTGAAATATATTCTTCTTATAAAAGATGCTTCTCAAAAAATAACGATTTGTACGTAGAAAAAATTCAATACACAAGATGCTTAAGAATAGACAATTGATGGCAAAAATTTGAAACAGAAAACTCAGGACATGATAAAGTATTATGCAGATAAAAGCAGGACATGAGAAATGGAGTTTCAGGTTGGTGGTTGGATTTCATGAAGCTCCAATTTGTTTTCAAGTATAGTCCCATTATTTTTTGAGTAGATATTTCAACTTTATCATGCCCTAGTCCTTCTTCACTCACACGATATTACTGAATCGCGCTCTCGCCCATTGTCCAATGTTCCCCAATCTTTACTTAGATAGGGCTTTTATTGGTCTTATGCCTTTCTTATCAACTTATGTAAGTTAGAAGCATACAAAGGGATAATATCAAAATTGTCAGAAATCAAGCTGTATAAGTATTTTGCTTATCCTAGAGCATCGAGAAAATCCTCCTTATTCTCTCTCTATCACTTATCCTTTCTTCTCATTCATTCTTTTTCCTTCTCTTCTTTATTGCTGCAGATTTCTTCTTCGCGATCTGATTAGCCTGTGTAATTTGTTACCAGGAACTTGGGAACACCTTCTAAATATTGTTACCTATGCTTTTAGGCCCATGACTACCAAATCAAATTAGCCAATATCTAAAGGTTTTGTATTGTCTTTTAAATTTTTAAGTCGATCGAAGGTTAAACTCATTCATACACAAGAAATGTAGTCTTTTTAATATGTATAGGCCATTCTCGAACAAAAGACCAACAAGATCTACCTATAACCATCCATCCATCTTTTCACAAAATGTAAATACATTTTAACCCATATATCACTTTTCATTTCATAGGCAAAAGGAAATAAAACACTTTGGGAAGGAGTAGGACAGGAGATAAGACATTACAAAATTAATCCTCCACCAACTACTACGCGGAATGGTGAAGGGAAACTATTATACGAATTCCCTTGCTTCGTGAAGCCCTTATTCTGGAGGTGACATCTCGCTTATTAGCAATACTTTTCCTATATATGCATCTATGTATAGTACTGCTGGAACTTGCCAATATTATATGTCCTGATTTCAATCCCATCCATCGTCCTGGCGGCCAGAGTCAGTCTTATTTCTCTTCATCTGTGTCTCGTTCTGCTTCTCATCCTCCCCTGAAATTTCCTCTAGTGACCTGCCTTTTGTCTCCGTCACTAAGAAGGTACAGCAAAATCCAAGCATATTTGTGAATGCCAAAAACAACATGGCTTTCTTGATTTTATGAGTATTTCCGTCTTGTGTGTATTGCTGCACCCCAAATGCACTAACCATTGCCCCTGCCTTTCCAGACGCGGCACTCAGGGCATGGCAAGTGGATCTCACCCTTGTAGGGAATAGCTCCGCGGGGAGCACGAATGTGGTTGAATTGGGGCCAAAGTTGGCAAAGAAGAAAGTTAAACCATAAAGAGCTGCAAATGTCCATTTATGTTCTTTAGTCTTTAGGTAATCGTATTTGACTCCAATAATCGCCATGAAAATAGACATCATGAAGAACCCCATCAATTGTATCTTAAACCTGCCGATTTTCTCGATGAAGAATACTGTGAACCAGTAACCAGGGAATGTACCTAGCAAGGCAATCACAAACATAGCTCGCGATGTCTCAAACATTTCCCTCAAGGCGGATATCGTGTTAGCTTTGCTAGTGAGTCCCATGACTGGAAATATGTCCTTCTGTGTGAGATTTTGGCTGTAGAAAGCAATGTCCAACAAGAACCAAGTAGTCATTGTACCAAGTAAATGATGTCCATGGCGCATGAAGAACTCATTGGAGAGTAAAGAGTAGTCATTAGCTGCTTTAAATTTAGCCAATTTTTCTCCCTCCGCTTGAATTTCAATATCAAGTACCTTCCCCATATCAATCGCCGCCTGTTTAGCATTTCCTTCAATAATGGCAGTGTAACGCCCTGTTTCAGGCATCTTCATTCGCCAATAATAGGTAAGAAGAGCCGGAAGAGCTCCAAGCATCAACACGATCCGCCAAACATAATCTGCCTCAGGTTCCGTGGAGAAAACTTCATCAGTAGTAAACGCTTTACCCCCAAAATTCATAAGGAAAACTTTAGACACAATCATTGAAACAAGCCCGGCAAATATGATCCCAACTCCTTGCATAGCGAAAACAGCAGCAATAAACGCTCCACGTGTTCTCTTATTCGCGTACTCAGACATGATTGTAGCAGAAAGAGGATAATCTCCTCCAATTCCAAATCCAAGCCAGAACCTGAAGAAACAGAGTGTTCCTATTACAACTTTTCGACTATACCCAAAGGATAACCCCGAGCAAAGTGCACAAATGACCATGAGAATCAATGTAAGTCCATAAACTTTCTTTCGACCAAGTTTATCCCCGAGCCATCCAAACACAAGTTGACCAGTCAGAGTACCAACAAGTGCAACTCCGGTCACCCAATTGTTAACACTATGAGGCAATTTGCCCGGGGCATGGGTAGCCGGGTCGTAGTAGTACAAACGGCCTAAAAGTTTAGAGACTGTCGTGATGCAGAAGAGATCGTATGCATCAGTAAAAAATCCCATTCCGGCAATGACAACAGCTGTCACATGGTACCATTGGGTTCGTGCTGTGTCAAGTGCATTCAGTACTGTAAGACTATCTGAAGCCATGTTTAATTTTATTTTACTGCAATTTAATTAAGCTGTGATTTGATGGAATTATTTTGGTGTGTGTGTTACTTGATTATAGATATATGAAGAGAGTTTCCGTTGTTAACTAAATGACGTTTATACCTAAGTTTCTGTGGTTGGAACAAGAAATTGAAGTATAATTACCTGCAGAATATCCTTCTTCTTTGCTTAAATCAAGCATATGCTTTAATCAACCATAATATTGGGAGCTGAATTACTGTTTCACTTTCAATTTACTTAGACTAGTGTTTTGATAAAATGGACAAGTAAAAAAAGAAAATTCCATCTTTATTATAAGGGTCAAGTAAAAAATGACATGGAACGTGTACTAGTTTAAACATATTAAGCAAATTTTAATGACAAATATAAATTTTGGATCAAAACTACTAGTTTAGTTTTGTCGAACCAATAAAACATGACAAGTGGTCGAGAACAATTACTATGATAATGTTTGTTTTAATATAGGCATAATACATAAATATGTTTTTTTAACTTGGTCTTATTTCACATCTATGTCCACAAATTTCAAGTATGCACAATTTGACACTTAAACTTGCATAAAGTTGAACATATAGACACACACATTCTATATGGCATCCTACATGACAATTTATGTCCTACGTGGTGTTCTACATGTATTATGTCACATAAGACTCATGTCTACTTGTTCAACTTTATACAAGTGTCTACTTATGCACATCCCAAGTTGAAGGACATAAATATAAGAGATAAGTGTCAAAAACACACCTAAACTATCCCATTTTTTTTTAGTTTCATACCTAAACTATTGAAGTGTGAATTTCATATCTAAACTATCACTTTTTAGTTTGAGAAACACACCTCAGTATTGTGTGTAATACACTCTCTCTTTTATTTGAAAAAATCTTGACACATGACATTCCACATGGATAAAATATTACACCTTGACAAAAAATTAAATAATTAACTATTAATATTAATTAAAAATTAAAGGTTAAAGTATTATCATCCATAAAAAAAATATTTAAAAAATAAATAAATTATTTTTCTTACCCCACTCCACTCCACCACCTCCTCCACGTACCCCCCCCCCCACCCCCGACAATCCCCCATCCTTTTTTTAAAAATTTCTTATATAAAATACTTTTAAAATATTCATAGTTCACCCTCCCCCCACCCTCTCCCAAAAAAACCACCCACTCATCCCCCTCCCCCCTCCCCCCCAAAAAAATATTGATATTATTTTATTTTTAAAAAATAAAAATTCTACCCCATCCTATTTAACCCTCTACTCCTAATTTTTATATTTTTTTTACATTTTTTTCATTTTGTGTTAGCTAGATATGTACGTACACATATTTTTAGAAAAAAAATATTCTACTAGTGTATCGAATATAACATAAATAAGTAAAAAAATAAAAAATGTCTTGCGGCAGTAAGTAAAAAATATTTTCGATATGTATACATCTAACACAAAATGAAAAAAAAAAATTGAAGCGGAGGGTTAGGTGGGGTGGGTAGAATTGTTTTTTTAAAAAAAAGTAATATCTAAATTAGTATTTGGAGGGGAGGGGGGGGGGGGGGGGAGATGAAGTAAAAAAAAAAAAAAATCTTTTATAAAAGAAATTTAAACAAAAAAAAACTTTAAAAAATGGCTCAGCGGTGAGAGGAAGTGATGGAGTGGGGTAAGAAAAATATTTTACATTTTATTTTATAAAAGAAATATTATTTTTTTGGATAATAATTTTATTATTTTTTTATTTTAACTAATACTAATAATTTATTTAATTTTTGTCAAGGTTGAATGTTTTGTCCATGTGGAGTGTGATGTGACATTTTTAAAAAATAAAAGGGAGAGTGTATAACACACACTATGATGAGAGTGGTAAAAAAGAGAGGTGTGTTTCTCAAACTAAAAAGTGATAGTTTAGGTATGAAACTCACACTCTCAATAGTTTAGGTATGAAACTCAAAAAAATGGTATAATTTAGGTGTATTTTTGAAATTTATCTCTAAATATAAAATGAGACTAAGTTAAAAAATACATTATATATTATGCCTTTAATATATTGTGTTTTAGTGGTTAGTTCCTTTTTAAATATATAAAGAATTTCAGTACTCATTTTTTGTCCGATTATTGTTGCATATTAATGTATTTACTGAAAATCCACCAACTTAAAATTGTAAATCCATCCATACTTGAAGTATAACATAAACTTCAAACATATTTTTTTTTCTTTAATAACTTTTTTATCAAATCAAACATATTACAATATTTTCGGTGATCACTATGAGAGACAGCTAGAATGACTAACCTGCTTGATCCTGACTAATGATCACTATTAAAAAAAGCTGTCAACTTTCGTATGAATATTTGTTTTGGACAAGGTAGCACCACGTAATGGAGGACGCATTTTTCGTAATTATATACTCCTATTGGTCCAAGTGTATGTACTGTACTGCCTTTAAATCCTAGATCTATCATATTACATTAATAATGATTTAGGCAGTTCTAAAGGGAGTTAGTTTTTGTTGTTTATGCTCATCCCTCCGCAATTTGTCCTTATCTATAAGGACCTCATTAAAGTCTTCTCCAGAATAATTTTGGCAAATCCTACAGACTCTCTATTATTATAAATAATGTTAGCATAGATAGTAGAAAAAGGCATGAGTTGGGAAAAGTATTTACCTTGATCATGACATGAAGCTTCTGAGGTGTAACAAATTTCAGAGAGTCCTATTTCCAGATGATAACAATGCCACTTGAAAGCCCTTCTGCTGCAGAGTGAATTTGAGCGTCAAAACCCAAGTTTGTGCATCTTGACTAGGGCTTGGCATTGTCTTCTGAATAAGTTGTTGTTTGCCCCTCTAGTATTCCAGGTTATGAAGTTAATTGGACTCTCATGTATCATTAAATTCTCTGATTTTCCCTTTCATTTCTCCATCTGTGTTAGGTTCATTAAATCCTTTAAGGGGTTCAGAGCTATTCCTAGCAGTAGGCTGATTTCTCATATTCAGACTGATCCTGCTCACTACAGCTTCTCTAGATTTTCTCTTAGAATTCTTTTGTGACTAGCTTTTCCACTCTTCTAACTCTTTGTTGCTTTACCTTAATGTGTCTAGAACTAAAAGAGTTACCTCTCATAGGTTTCCTGCCTTATTAGTAACCATGGCATAAACTCGGGGGTAACAATTGTAGGCAATGGCAGAGTCAAGATTTTCAATAAGGAGTTTAAAATTTGAAAAAATAGACACACGAAGTAGTCGAAGGGAGTTCGACATCTACTATATATACCTAAAAAATTATTTTAACCCCCTAATTATAAGGTGGCTCCGCCACTTGTTGTAGGGTCTTGAAGAGGTTCCGATAAGAAAGATATATATCGATGGACCTACGACATGAGAGAGCTTAGCACTTGGCTGGACATTCGTGTCAAGTCGCCATATAGGTGAGCTTAGAGCAGTGTTCGCATCTAGAGTTGTTGGCTAAACCCCAAGGTGGGTAAGTTCATCCATTCTCTTATGAATTGTGCTAGGAAGTGTGGATTTTCAATTATGATCGACATTGGTTGTGTCCCTAAGTCAAAGTATTCTCCATGGAAGGCCAATTCTAGCCATGACTCTGGAATGTGGTCCTCCGAGAGAGGTGTTGTGACAAAGAACATTGGTGTTGGAAGTAGGGGATGCTGCTTTCCATTTATGTGAGTGTTTTCTTGGGGGTATTCTTAATTGGCAGTGTAGTTAATTGATGCAACGACCATTTTCACATCTTCCCAAGGTGGCTTAGTGATGATTATTCTCCGTATCGGAAAAAGGGGTTTTACAATTTTAGATGTGGCGGTTCGTTTCTCCACAAAGAGAGTTGTAGAGTCGTGGTTGAGTTCACCTAAAGGTGCTTTGACTCAAAAGACTCACTTCATTGAACGAGAATTGAAGTTCCTTTTGCTTTGGATTTTGGTGCAGTAATCTTCAGCGCGTGTTTCCAGAGTTTCGTCACTTTAATTTTGAGAAACCATGATGTGATATTCTTTTTCCCATGGTTTGATTATAACTGAGTTTTTTATGGGGAGATAAATTTTCTCTTCTCTTCCTCAGTGAGGTTGATTTCATTTTCTATTTCGTTATCCTTCTTTGTCTCTGTCTCTGTCTCTATTTCTTCCATTCGAAATGAGTAGATGTTTATTTCTAGTTGTTTATCCATTAGGAGTTCAATGAAGAAATGTTTGTATGGCAGATCCTCCTTCATTCTTGTTCTTTCATTAGGCCATTCTGATGTGGATGTAGGTGGTGATACTTGTGACGGGGTAAAGAGTCATGGTCAGATTTCTAAGATAAGTTTTTCCTAGAGAGAGAATTTCCCTATTTTTTATTTTTATTACATTTGGTATTTAGTGGATACGTTTTATTTTTATGAAAGAAGCTTTTAACAAGGGAAATTTCTGTTGTTGGTATATATATGCTAGGTGGTAATATTCCAGTGCTTGAAAATTAATATTATAGATGGTACGAGGATATATACCTACTGATGTTTTGGTTTTTATAAAGCTTAGTGTTTCTAATTTTCCAGATATTCCAAAGAATGATTGGTGCGAGCATAGATATTTTGTAAAGTTGTTAGAAAGTCTATTAGGCATAGTTAGTTAGTTTGCAGAGTTAGTTAGTTCTCTAACTATAAAATGTACTCTACAGTTCAGTTTGTGAATAAGATTGATTTTCCTCTCTTCTCTCTCAAGCCTACTCTTGCATGATTCTCAAGCTTATGAGTTCTTCCATGGCTGCTAACATGGTATCAGAGCATCCACTATCGATCTGAAGCAGTTTCTGTCTCAACTCAAAGTAGCAAGCTCGTGGGAAGTTATTTCATCTAAGTCAGATCTGAATCGTAAAACATGGCAATCGAGGAAGAGCAAATCAACACAAACGGAGTGAATGTTCAGCAGACAATTCACGCCATTCCTACACTAGATCACAATCACCCATTGTTTCTGCAGCCAACTGAC